CACGCCCAGCCGGGCTTTCTTTTCTTTTTTAGAACAGTAAAAGCAGGTCACACCTATTGTGGAAAATTTTTTAAAAAGAGATAACTATAAATTCATTGTAATCCCATCATCAAGAGAAAAAAACCTATGTTGATGTATCATTTTAAAACTTGTCTTTCACATATTTGAGATTATCACATTTTCTTTGTTACTTTTGTTGGTAAACAGTAAGCCTGGTCTTTTCCATATCAGTAGTAGTTCTTCATATGTATGATTTATTAAAAAGTAGATGTATGACATTCCACTCTGTAGATGTGCCATAAACTATTTGGCACAGTAATACTGCTTTGATGAACATTTCTGCACACATATTTATCCGTGTTAGAAATCATTTCCCTTGAATATATTCTTAGAAGTGGAATTATTGGTCTCCTTCAAAAGACCTTGAGATGTAGTAGTAGAGGGAACTTAAGACTCTGAAAGTGAGAAAGCACAGGAAGAAAGGTGGATAGAAAAGAAGTTGGTGATGGTGAAGAGCGGCATTGGAGATTGAAAGCATTGAGTGACTGGTGGCTAAGTCCAGTCCTTGCATTGAATTGCGAGCAGGTCTTTATTGAACCGTGTTTTGTGGAGGCACTGGCATAGGTATTTATAGTCATGGGGTGTAAGAGGCTATCTGTCATTGTGAAAGATAACAGTTTCTCCTTTTTAGTTTACAGGAAAGCCGTCCATTTTCAGTTGATTTTTTCAGGAAAATAATCCAGTTTGAAAAGGAGCAAGTAAGTGTTCTATTCATTTCTTGTCTGGGAAAATGGATTAGTGGTTACTAATTTATGGCAGCATTTTGGTATTTAAAAAGCTCTCATTATAATATAAATTTCTGCTCCCTTTATCTCATTCCTTGTTTTCATAGAGATGGTTTAGGAATGGTAATCAGGCAAAGAAGAGAAAGTACCTGTCTGGAAAAGAGAAAGCTTAGATATCATTTCTTATAGGAAGCCCTCCCTGCCAGGCTGGGCGAGGCACTGCTTCTTTGCCTCCATGGCATCCTCTTTGTCTCGTAGCATATCGGGTTGTGAGGTGAAGAGTAGCACTTAGTAACAGTTTCTGGTATTTTATTTTTTATTTTTATTTTTTAATTTGTCTTTATTGTTTTCAGAGAGAGTAAGGGAGAGGGAAAGAGAGAGATAGAAATATCAATGATGAGAGAGTCATTGATTGACTGCCTCCTGCACGCCCCCTACTGGGGATTGAGCCCACAGCCTGGGCATGTGCCCTGACCAAGAATTGAACGGCAATCTCCTGGACCATAGAGGTTGATTGATGCTCAACTGCTGAGCCGTGCCAGTTGGGCCAGTTTCTAGTATTTTTAACAGAACATGTGAGTAAGGGAAATACAGGAAGTCTCATTAAAATACTAATACATGAGCCCGGCTGGAGTGGTTCAGTGGTTGAGTATTGACCAGCCGACCTGTGATCCAGGAGATCACCGTTTGATTCCTGGTCAGGGCACATTCCTGGGTTGCCAGCTCGATCCCCAGAAGGGGGTTTGCAGGAGGCAGCCGGTCAGTGATACTCTCAATCATTAATGTTTCTATCTCTCTCCCTCTCTTTTTCTCTCTCTGAAATCAATAAAGACATATTAAAACAAAAACAAAAAAACCACACTAATACATGAAAACCCAAGTGTATCTGTAATCCTATCACAGCGACACAACCAGCCACGTTGTTACTTTTATTGTTTTCTTATATACATACAGTTTTGTACTGTTTCATTATTTATTGATTGATTTCAGAGAGAAAGGAAGGAAGAGAGAGAGAGAAACATTAACATTTATTCATTGTGAAGTTAGGACTAGTAGCTCTTTAGCTAGGTTCATAATTAATCAGCATTTAATTTAATCCTTGTAGTTACTTTAAGATCTCATTATCCTTGTTTTATGGACGAGGACACTTTTAAGATCAGAGAATTTAAAAAATTTGCTGAAGGTCGCCCTGGCCAGTATGATTCAGGTAGTTAGAGTGTTGTCCTGAAAGGTTGAGGTTCAGTTCCCTGTCAGGGCACATACACAGGTTGTGGGTTCTATCCCCGTTCAGTCCTCTCACTGAGAATTAGTTAGGCCTTGTCCATGCTACTGTAGCAAAGTGCTTTTTATCACTGTTTGACATTTATTTCACTCTGGACGTAAATGTATTTGACTTTTCTCTGGTTAAGTTGAAAGCCAGGCTGTGTTCATCTTAAGCCACAACCTTCCTCTCCTTCAGATACCGAATAGAGGATAGCTACTTAACAATGTGGTTGAAATGAATTTGTGACATTATAAGTTAAGGTTTTTGAGGCAAGATTGTCTGATTATTTTTGTTAGGAATCCTGCAAGATGGCGAACTTAAGAGAATATTATGAGAGGGCTTTGAGAGAGTTTGGATCTGTAGATTCTGGTAAGTAAACTTCAGCTATAGACACACAAGTCTGTTTGCATGTGTTCTGTAATCTGTCATGGCTAGAACAGTGTTCCTTAACTTTTTTGAGTCATGGCCCTCTTTGAGAACAAAACTTGCATCCTTACCCTGCCTCTTCCCCCACTTCGTGCATAAATACTTACAGATATACTTTTAGTTATAATTTCAAGTTCACAAGCTCAAGAGTCCGTAGGTTTTCTGTTAACTCTGGATTAGAGAAAGATCTGCTTGGTTTCGTTCTCTTTCAAAAGTGTGGTGTTTGTAAGGGAAAGGTTAATAATGTGGGTCAGAACAAAATGGGGTGGGAGTTATAGTTATAAGGGTTGTGGCAGGCTAGTTGACATTAGTTGTCATTGGCTGTTGCCACATTGTCCTCATTTATACGACTTGCAAAACATACTTCTGGGTGTAGATATATCATGTAAATTACTTAGTACTCAAAACTTCATGTGTATAGTTAAATTCACGTTAAAAATACATTTGTTCTTAAGAGGTTTCAACAGACCTGATAGAATGCATGAAAATGGTGTTTTTACTAACCTAAGCAAGTTTTGTTAAGCATGGCAACGAGGTTATAGTGAACTCATTGAGGTAAGTTTCACCTTGAAGGAGACTCAACCAAATCCTGCCTCTAAAATACTTAGTCTATTTGAGTTTGTAAAATACATATACTGTCATGATTAAAGTGAAGGTTTCTACTTTAAAAAATAGTTTTGATATACCGTAGTTTGAAGATGATGAGAAGTATTGTTTCACATAGGTTCTTTGGAAATAACAAGAAGTTAAGTTTCTTAGAAATCTTGCATTGAATTGATATTAAGTAATTAAGTTTACCTAATAAAGCCTCATCAGTTATCGTATGTTTATAGTAATTTTTTGGTTCCCTTTAAAGATCTTTGGATGGATTACATCAAAGAAGAATTGAACCACCCCCTTGGCAGACCTGAGAACTGCGGACAGATATATTGGCGAGCCATGAAAATGTTGCAGGGAGAGTCAGCAGAGAAGTTTGTAGCCAAACATGCTATGCATCAAGCTGGCCATTTGTGAAAAGAGGAAGACCACAGCCAACCTTCTGAAATAGTATTGTAAGCCCTCTGGGCAGGTTTGTGTTATGAATTCTTCTGCAGTTGGCAGACAAAATTTTGAGACATGTTTTAATTTTGTTACTGGGTTAATCTTTAATTCCAGAAAAGAGAACTGCTGTTTAGTGGCCAGAGGCTATTTGTTGAGGCTGTATTTACTGTAGATCCTAAATGTTTTCCAAAATATGTGGAAATCATACAACTGAGTTTCTTTTATTACCCCTGTCAGGGGTGGATGTCTCTAATCTAGACCTAGGGGCCAGTTGAAATGGAGGGGAAAGTACAGCTCTGTTTATTTTCTCATTATAAAAGTATACATGGTATGTGTCTGTTGTAGAAAATATGGTAAGAATAGAATAATGAAAATAAAAGTATCCGGTCATATCATCTGGAGTTAAACTCAGTAATTTGATTTCCTTGATTGAAATTGGATTTATTCTGAGATCATTTATTTAGTCATTGAGTGCTCATCATAAGCAGAAAAGAAGGGAAGCTCTTTGGGATGGATGTCTTGAGAGCTGGCTGAAGCAGTAGAGAAGGATTGGGGAAAAAGTCCTTTAAGAAGATTAAGACATTATAAAAGTGTCTTTTATTCCTGGGACAGATCTGCAGAGAAGTGTTTACCATGGGAAGGCCTGGCAACCAAAGAAGGGCAGGGCTAGGGAGTAGATTAGAATGCAGAGAAGGGCTTCAGAGGCGATGATGGTAGATGGCTTAGAGCAGAGAAGGGCATTCTGGGAGCAGGGGACGCAGTTGTTTGAATTTTATGTTATTTAACTTAACATTATGATGTCAGTGGGAGAAATATTCAGTACAGTTTACTTACTATGTTTCACTTAATGTTGTTTTCCCCCATATCATTAAAATAACCTTAAAAACATTTGATTTATAGCATTCCATTGAGTAGATGAGCCATGACTTATTTTACTAATCCCCTGTGGTTGGACCTTGCCATTTGTAATTTTTTTCTAATTATAAACACTGTTGATGAAGATTCTTGTAAATCTTTGTTTACATCCTTGGTTATTTCTTTAGTAGATTGATATCTTACAGAATTATTAGATTAAAGGATATAACTTTTTAAAGGAATATTGATATATATTGCCAGTTTGCAATGCATGAAAATGTCAGCACCTTTGGCTGCAGAGTATATTTTATATTTTTATTTTAATAAGTGAAAAATGACATATCATTGTTTTAATGTGCATTTCTTTGACAGTAATGGAATGAATGTTTTTTTCCTGGTTCTCATCTTCTCATGTTCTTTGACAGTTCTTTGAACTTTTTCTTATTAATTTGTAAGTTTCATATATATTAAGAGTATTAACCTTTAGTTTGTCTATCATTTATTGCAAATAATTTGCCCCAGTTGTGTGTGTGTGTGTGTGGTTTTTGACATCCAGAGGTGTGTTTTTTTGTCTGTATGATTTTTAAATTTTTATTTTCTTAAATTCTCACTTGAGGACATTTNACATCCAGAGGTGTTTTTTTTTGTCTGTATGATTTTTAAATTTTTATTTTCTTAAATTCTCACTTNGTTTTTGACATCCAGAGGTGTGTTTTTTTGTCTGTATGATTTTTAAATTTTTATTTTCTTAAATTCTCACTTGAGGACATTTTTTCCTTTGCTTTCCAGAGAGAGAGATGGAAGGAGGAGAGAGATGGAAGGGGGAGAGAGAGAGAAACATCAGTGTGAGAGAGACATGCCAATTGGTTGCTTCCCACACATGCCCTGACCAGGGCTGGGGATCGAGCCTGCAACCGAGGTATGTGCCGTTGGTCGGAATTGAACCCTGGACCCTTCATTCCAAGGGCCGACTCTCTAACCACTGACCCAAACCGGCTAGAGCTATGATTTCTTTTGTTGATAACTTTTTTTTTTTTTTTGCCGAGGATAGCTTGGATTTTTTTCTCCAAGCAATTAAACTAAATTTTCTACAATGCCATTTGTGGCCATTTTACTTTCTGCTGATGTGTGATATAATACCTTTATTATATATTAAATTCCTGTGAATATTCGCATCTGTTTTAGGGCATTTTTATTTTGAGCTTTTGTACTCTAAATGTTTGCTTGTCATTTGTTTTAAAATAAATCCTTATGTGGCATTTTTATTTTAGGAAAGAGATTTGTGTTGCATGTAAGAGATGAGAGCAAAGAGGGTGGTGGTTGGCGTCTTATAGCAAGGCCATTCCCCCTGGGGTTATCACAACCCTATGTCTGGTCTTCACGGTTGAAGGTTTTGAAAATGCATCTAGCTAGTTCACGTGGAGCCTCACTGTTAGATATGGTAGTTTCTAGATACATGTGACAATTTAAATTTATTAAAATGAATTCAATTTCTCCTTTACACTGGCAACATTTCAAGTGCTTAATAGCCATATGTTTACCATATTGGACAGCACAGATAATATAACTTTTTTATTCCCACAATTGGAGAAGGCTCTATTGGATAGAGTTGAGCTAGATAAATCCAATTAGATTTGGGGAAACTGACTCATGGGTCAGAATAGAGGACACATTAATCCGTCACATTCTCTTGTAGGAAAGTCTAATAGAGAAAAAGAAAGAAAAGAGAATATTATGTATCAGCTGTTACACAAATGTTTTCAAATGTCGTATGTAGTTTACAAATAACACATACTTTGAAGGAGATGAGGGAATAGGCTTTCTAATCTCCCAAAGGTTGTATTAACGTGTCCTGGTAAGCAAGGGATCCCAGTTTATAGCTTTCTGCCACTTAAATGTTAAGGCACGTTACCACACCTTGAGCTGTTTTGTTCGAGTTTAGGCAGTGTGCGTGGGGACAGGCAGTGAAGGCTGTCCTTGCCTATCTTTTTCCACCTTCAGGTTGTAAAAAAGGAGTTTTGCCCTGGCCAGTGCGACTCAGTAGTTAGACATTATTGGTTCCATTCTGGGTCAAGGGCACGTACCTGGGTTGCAGGTTTGATCCCTGGCCCTGGTGGGGGGGTGTTTGGGAGGCAGCCAATCCATGTCTCATGTGTCTCTCACATCGATGTTTTTCTCTCTCCCTCCATCTCTCCCTACCACTCTTAAAAAAACCAAACAAATCCCCAAACTTTTTCCAGATCAGGCTAGGGTCAGCACAGAATGTTTAGTTTTATTATGACTGCAGTTTCCAGTACGTTATCGGAGTTTGTTTTTATCGTTTGTCCTGGTTTCTAATGGACTTTAAAAAAAAAAAATATATATATATATATATATATATATCTTGATTTGAGAGAGGAAGGGAGAGGGAGAGATAGATAGAAACATCAGTGATGAGAGTCATTGATTGGCTGCCTGCTGCATGTCCCCCACTGGGGATGGAGCTGGCAACCCGGGCGTGTGCCCTGACGGGAAATCTAACCGAGATCTGGATCATAGGCTGATGCTCAACCGCTGAGCCACGCCTGGCCAGGCTCTAATGGACTCACTATAAGAACTATAATGAACTCAAGGTGGAGAGTCACTGGGCTGCTGAGTTGTCTCATCCATCTGTGGGTGAGTTACAATCTAATTCCAGCCCTGAATTCTAGAGAAATCTGTAAGATCAAAAGTGAAATGTGGTTGGAGCTACAATTGCATTAAGTTTTTAGCTGAGCTTTGTACATTATCAACTGGGCTCGAGGAACAGGGATTGGACGTGTTGAAGCTGGGTGGGGATGACCCCTGGCATTCCAGACAGCGGGCTAGCCCTGGGACCTGCATGCAAGAGCTACGGAAGTCAGGTTTGGGCTGCTAGGTGGGCTCTCGCTGTCCGGCGCGCCCCGCCCCCGGCGCCGCCCCGCCC